CAAAGAGTGTTCGGCTGTGATCCCCAGAATCCCCAGCCAGTGGCGCCAATGAGAGCTCTGGGGGAAAAGCCCAGGTGGCCGAAGCCTGTCGGATTGGAGAGCAGGAGGTGGGAGACCTCCTGTTTTCAAATCTGCTTTCCCCCCCCCCCCCCCCCAGTGCTGTCCAAGAGCTTAGGCAAAGAAGGGAAAGGTGCTGAACAGAAAAGGTGGAACTTCGGGACCTCTTGGGTGTGTGCAGAGGCAGCCGGCCCCCAGCGCTTCCCCCAGTGGAAATCCTCGCACCTGGGCAGCCTCATGGGGAAGGGGTTGGCGCTTCTGCTTCCCCAGTCCCAGACCCCCCCGGGGTGTGGGTGAGCCGCCCACCGCCCCCGCCCAGCGCTTGCGCAGGAAAAGCATAAGAGCAAACCATGCAAGCTCAGTAGTGTACTTTGCTAAAAGATCAGAAAAGAGGAGATTCTTGAAGCACCTCTAAAACTTTTGTTCTGTTTTTAAGCCAGATCCTGTCAGCTGAGCTGAAAGGTTTTGTTATTTATTCATTTGATTTACCTAGCCATCCCTCTCACTTTTACGGGACTCTAGGTGGCTTGTTCATACACTGCATGAGGCCATCAAGTCATTTTTTTCAAAATGTCTGGTGCGAGCGTGGCCTTTTGGGGTCATTCGGTCAGCTGAGGTTCAGTAAACCATGGCTTGGTGCAGCAGGTGAACCCGGCTCCTGCCTTTCCCGCCTCTCTGTCGTGTGCCCAGAGCAGCCAGGTTTGATCTAGCGCAACTGGGTCCAGCATTCGCAGGACGGTTCTTCAATTCTTTGCATATGTTTTGTATTTCCCAGATGATGTGGGGGTTTGGGGATTTTATTGATTCCCTTCTGGGTGGCTTTTACAATGCCTTTTAACTTCCTGTTTGTCACCTCGAGTTGTTCCAATTAGGCGGCTTGTGAATCAAATCGAATGAATACAGCGCAGCCGATCTTCCCTTTGCTGCCTCTCGCAAACGCAGCGAGGGCCCGAGGGAGAACTATTGCCACGTTTTAACGGCAGGGTTGCTGCTTGCTCGCTGCCAGGCCCTACGACACCAGCAGGGAAGGCTACAAGGACTGGTCTTTCATGTCCACGCACTACTGGGATGAAGACCCCCAGGGTATCTGGACCCTTCTTCTGGAAAACAAGGGGGATGCCTATAACACAGGTAGACCGAGCCGCCTTGTTCCAGCTTGGATAGCATCTCTTTGCCCCTGACTTCTTACTGACTCTTTCCAGCTCTTTTCTGTGTGCTTAAGGTCTAGAAACTTGAATTGGTACCTATGAACGTAGATTCCTCTCTCTCCGCCTCCCTCTTCCCCCTCTGCTCCCATGCAGAGCCCCCCTCCTGCCTTGCCTTTTGCACCCATGTAAACTGTTCTTGGTTTTGCGATGCCCACCTGTCTTTTGGGAGCTGTATTCTCACCCTTTTTGTCTGCTCTCTGCCTCTGTCTGAAGGGTTCCTCAAGAACTTTGTGCTAAAACTGTACGGGACTGATGAAGACATGACGGCCCGGCAGGCCGCTCCCCCAGCGGTGAGCAAGTGTGCGCGACACAGCCATGACGGGACATGCCAGGGTGAGTTGTGGGGGTGGGGTGGGTGCCTTCATCTTGGGCGCATCACCCAGATGGCCACAGAACATTTTTGATGGCTGTGGAACTCCATGCCACCAGATACCATGGAGAGCCAGTCACAGCAGTTGAGGAAGGAAAGAGCAAGGATTCTATCAAAATTTATTTTTGCATTTATTTATTTATTTATATATCAAATTTGTCACCACCTGTCTTGTTAAAAAGCAACTCTGGGCGGTTTACGGAGAAGATAAAATCAATTAAAATGCAATATAAAAGCAGTCTTAAATAAACAATAAATAAATTCCAAGAATTTATGGCAATTGGCGAGTAGCTCAGGGAGCGCCATCAGGGCCCCAGCCAGCCCCAGGATTGATTAAAACTCTTACTGCCCCATGCAAGCCAGCAGAGCCAGGTCTTTAGTCCTTTCCGGAAGGCTGGGAGGGTAGGGGCCCGCCACACCTCTGGGGGCAGGATATTCCAAAGGGCAGGGGCCACGGCAGAGAAGGCTCTTCTCTTGGCCCCACCAGCCGACATTCTCTCGCTGACGGGGTCCGCAGCACGCCCTTTCTGCCTAACCAGGTGGGACGGGTCGATGTGATGGGGGTGAGACAGTCCCTCAGGTAACCTGGACCCGTGCCAGAGGCCTCTGGACACAGCACTGTAATTGTACAGTGGGAAGGCAATGTGTATGCCCCCTCTTGCTTCATAGCAAGTCTTTCCTGGGTGAGCTGGACTTTGGCCCCCAAATGCATAATCTGACGATCGAGACGAACAAGGGCCTGCCTGCTTGTGGGGGAAAAGCACAGGATAATCTGTTAGAGTGGAATAAAGTAGCACTCTTTATTCTACAGGAAAGTGCTCCTGTTCTGTTTCGCCGAGTCCCCGCTTGAAAAGAGAAGGAGAAAAGCCTCCTCTGCCCCTTTTCCTCCTTGAGGGCATAGTGTTTTAAAAATAAAACTCAGTCTGGTCAGTCTTGCCACCCTGTGCTCGGCCATTTTCTCCCCTCCCACAAGCTAGGTTCCCCGTCCCACCACAGCTGCGCCTTCTTGCCTCCTAGTTGCTGCTCTGCTCACGGGATTTCTTCTCTTCTTTCTAGAATGCCCCAGTCCATTCTTCGTGGTCCAGCACCTCTGCCTCTCCTACTGTCCCCCCAGGTACTATAGCCTGTCCCGAGCGGCTCTGAACCCCAACGGGACCCAACGCACCATCCAGGCCTGTGCTGCTTGTGACCCATCTTGCTACACTTGCCTGGCGGGGTCGGCCCACAACTGCACCACCTGCCCGTCCCACAGCACCTATGAGGAGCGCTCCCACACCTGTCTGCAGTCTCCATCCTTCTCCTACCTGCCCCGCGGAGGTGTTTTTGCTCTTGGGGACAGGCATCTCCTCCTCCTGGTCGTCGCGATATTGCTGGGCGTAGGACCCGTGGCCTTTTGCATCCTCTATGCCTTGCGTCGCTTGGTGATCCGTACGGGCACATGGCGGAAACAGGTGGGGCCCAGTGCAGAGTCCGGGACTGTCAGCCTGGAGCTTCTTTACCTCCACCATCCCGGGGCCAAGGAGAGTTTGAAGAGACTGTCATAGAAATCTTTCTTCCTGACCAGACGGCAGGCTGCCCTCCTGAATTGCTTGAAGCACTCTCCCCTGCTGTTATTTATTTCTCCAAATGGCTCCTGGATCCCCTGAGAAAGCAATAAATGCTCAGCCTGAGGTGGTCTCTGGTCCTTTTGGGGTTCAGAGTGCGTTCCTTTGGGCAGATTCTTGTGAGTCTTGCTGGTCTCAGTGGATGCATCTGGGGGAAGAAGACGTTACGGGATTCGTCCATAAATTAGCTCATTTGGGGCCAGGAAGATGTATTTGGCACAGCTTTTCTAAGTTTCTGCTCCGTCTCGCCTGGCTCTGCGGGCAACGCCAGAGGGTGGATCTGGTTCAAGAAGGTAAGGGGGTTGCTCTTTTCCCCAGTTTGGTGGAGTGGGTGACCACTGCAAGCCCTGAAACATTTTGCAGAGCCCAGAATTCTTTGAAGCACACAAACAGTTGCAAGATGCTAAATTGATTCCTGGAGCCTTAGAAGGCGGTGTTTGGGAATTGTATTTGGTTTGCATTTCTGTAGGCCTCGTTTTCCATTTCCCACAGTAGTCCTTTCTCCTGCAAATATGGGTTTCTTATGCATAGTTCTTTTCTCTATCCGTCTTTCTTTAGATGTAGTTCTCAAACTTTTCCAATCACCCTGCAGGGCAGGCCTTTCTCCCAGAACTTAATGGGGCCAGAGCCAAAATGTGGGGTGGTGTATAGGTCACTTTCTTTTTAAATCTCTGAACAGAACTCTTATTATTAGTTATTACTTCTTCATAAAACTATCTATTTCCCAGAAGGAGCTCTGGGCAGTGAACAGAATAAAAGCAGAGAGCATTTAAAAAGACCATTTAAAGGTATAAACAACATTCCCTCCACCCGCCAGCCACCCCATGCCACTCGGCCCGCTCCCTGACCCCAGTGCCCGGGGGAAAACAGGGTCCAGGCCATCCCTATCTCTGGGGGGGCTGCTCCACAGGGCAGGCGCCAGGGCAGAGAAGGCACACTCCCCAGGCCCCACAAGGCACCGGGGTCACGCCGAGGGCACCGGGCAGGCCACCGGCCAGACCTAGCGGCATGGGCAGGGACCTCCGGGGAGAGGCGCTCCCGCCAGCGACCTGGCTGCCCGCAGTCGGCCTTGAGGCGACAACCAGCACCCTTCCACGCCTGAATGTGGCCGAGGTGCAGAAGCCCTGCCTGAAAGAGATGAGCTGAAAAGAAGAAGAGGAGGTTC